GAGCTGAAGCGCTGAGGGGCAGTGTCCAGGCCCAGAGTTATGGCCCCACAACCAACAACAACAACAAAAAGTTTTTTTTTTTCCTTTTTGCCAGTTCTGGGGTTTGAACTCAGGGCCTGGGCACTATCCCTGAGCTGCTTTTTGCTCAAGGCTAGCACTCTACCACTTGTGCCCTGAGCCACAGTGCTACATATAGCTTTTTCTGTTTATGTAGTACTGAGGAATTAAACCAAGGGCTTCATGCATACTAGGCAAGTCTACCACCAAGCCACATTCCCATCCCCGAGATAAAGAATCTCATAGACTTCCTGCCCAGGCTGGCTTCAAACCTCAGTCCTCAGATCTCAGACTAAATAGCTAAGATTATAGGCATGAGCCACTGGTACCCAGCATTGTTTTTTTGTTTGTTTTATAGGATTGGGGGAAGAGGGAGGATTGTTAAGACTAGGCTTGAACTCAAGGCCTAGGTGCTATCCCGTAGCCTTTTCTGCTTAAGGCTGAAGCTCTACCACTTGAACCAGAGTTTTACTTCCATGTATAGTGTCTGCTTTGAAAAAAAAGGTTGTTAAAGGTGCTTTTGTTTGTGTTTGTATACGCGCGCGCATGTGTGTGTGCATGTATGTGTGTGCGCATGTGCACACACACTGGTCCTGGAGCTTGAACTCAGGGCCTGGGCACTGTCCCTGAGATTTTTTCCTCAAGGCCAGCACTCTACCATGTGAACCACAGCTCTACTTCCTGTATTTTGCTGAGCAATTGGAGATAAGAGTCTCATGGATTTTCCTGACCAGACTGGCTTCAAGCTAAGATCCTCAGATCTCAGCCTCTTAAGTAGGTAGGATTACAGGTATGAGCCACCAGCGACCTGTTTTGTTCTTTTTAAGGAAACATTGAAAAACAGTTGCTACTATAGACTTGAGTGATGGAGTGATAAAACAGGGAGACCTCTAGCTGTGAGGCTGTCTCCCTCCAAGTAGTGTTGATATCTTAGGCCACCATCTCTGGACAAACCCCCACATGCAGTCCACTGAACAGTGTTCCCTAGGAAGTGAACTTGCACCAATGGGGTAGAAGACAGTATCACAAAATCTGTACTAGCTCACAGTCATAACGTACTCTTTAAAATAACAACAAAAGGAACTGGGAATGTGGCTTAGTGAAAGAGTGCTAGCCTAGCATGTATGAAGCCCTGGGTTCGATTCCCCAGTACCACATAAACAGAAAAGGTTGGAAGTAGCCCTGTGGCTCAAGTGGTAGAGTGCTAGTCTTGAGCAAAAGAAGCTTAGGGATAGTACCCAGACCCTGAGTTCAAGCCCTAGGACTGGCAACAACAACAAAAAGAAATAGGACAGATGGCCTAGCTACTCGGGAGGCTGAGATCTGACTATTGCAGTTTGAAGCCAGCCCAGGAAGGAAAACAGGGAAGGCATTTATCTCTAGTTAACCACCAAAAAGCCAGAACTGAGGGCTGGGAAGGTGGCTCAGTGGTAGAGTGCTTGCCTTGCATGCATGAGGCCCTGGGCTCGATTCCTAAGTACCACATAAGCAGAAAAAGCCGGAAGTGGTGCTGTAGCTCAAGTGATAGAGTGCTAGCCTTGAGCTGAAGAGCTGAGGGACAGTACCCAGGCCCAGAGTTCAGGCCCATGACCAACCAAAAGAAAAAAAAAAGCCAGAAATGAGGGTATGGGTCAAGTAGTAGAGTGCAAGTCTTAAATGGAAAAAGTCAGGCAGGAGCTCAAGGCCCTCAGTTCAAGTACAAGCACAGGCACGTGCACGCATGCATGTGCATGCACGCTTGCGCGCGCGCACACACACACGCTTGGCAATGAAAGAAAGGAATGGGCCATGAATTGGTTGGGAAGTAATAGAGGGAGCAGGTTGGAAATTACTGCATCCTTTTTAACTGGAAGGAGGGCAGAAATAGGGGACAAATTTTGGAGGGCCTGTAGATTTTGTGGTGGGAGTTTAGAAATTCTTCTCTGCTTATCTTTTTCTCAACGAAGTATGTGGCTAGAAAGTCTAGTAAGGGCTACTTTCTTAAAGGCAGAAGAACTGTTTTGTTTCTTTCTTGCTCCCCAGAAATGGCTGTGTCATGGTGTGTCCCCCCACCCCCACCCCAATCTGTCTCAGGTCCTCAGGTTGGGTCCTAAGCTTACTGATCCAGGGTCCAATGTGTTTCACCCAGCCCTCTTTTTTTCTCTTCAGAGCTGCCAGACTGCCTTCTTGGGTACTGTCATGGAAGAGCTGCCGTCAGATCTTAACATCGATCTCCCTCTGAGTCATGAGTCATTTTCAGATTTCTGGAAACTGTAAGTTTCATGGCAAGGGCCCCCGTCACTTAGTAAAGGCCTATGGGAAGCAAAAATTAGTAACACTGGGGCTGGGAAGGTGGTTCAGTGGTAGCGCGCTTGCCTTGCATGCATGAGGCCCTGGGTTCAATTCCTAAGCACCACATGAGCAACAAGATAAAAACTGGAAGTGGCGCTGTGGCTCAAGTGGTAGAGCACTAGCCTTGAGCTGAAGAGCTGAGGGACAGCGCCCAGGCCCAGAGGTCAAGCCCCACGACTGGACCCAAAAAAAAAAAAATTACTAACACTGACTGTATGCTCTTCTTTTTCAGTCTTCCTGATGACAGCTTTCTGGTAAGAATTGGGCAGGAAGGGACCAGGGGACATGGTGGCCTGCTAGGCTGGGAATCCAGCCTTGAAATATTCTTTTGTTTCTTCCCATCCACAGTCCACCTCGCTTTCCTCTCCCATGAATGAGTTCTCAGGAGACGATGTTGAAAAGTGGTTAGAAAATCCGCAGGAAGCTGTACAAACATCTACAGATGCTGTCCCCGAGGCCTCGGCCCCAGTGGCCCCTGCACCTGCAGCCCCGGCACCAGCCACCCCATGGCCCCTGTCATCCTTTGTCCCTTCCCAAAACACCTACCATGGCAACTATGGCTTCCGCTTGGGCTTCCTGCAGTCAGGGACAGCCAAATCTGTCACATGCACGGTTAGTAGCCCTGAGGAGCTGGCTTTCGTGTGACCTTTTCTTGCCTGGCCATATTCCCCTGGGTCTTTCTGTACAGCACTTGGAGATTCCTCGCCAACCTTTGGCTTCTTGTCCTTTTATTTACATTTTACCCATTTGGTTTGTGCACTTTGACCTCTGTCTCAAAGCTGAATTTTCCCTCAAACTTTGAACACAGGCATTCATCCTCCTTCTACTTTGAGCTAGCACTCTACCACTTGAGCCACTCCTATTTGTGGCTATTGGCTGGTTAATTGAAGAGTCCCATGGATTTTTCTGCTGGCTTTGAACCATGATGCTTAGATTTCAGCCTCCTCAGTAGCTAGGATTGCAGGCCTGAGTTGCCAGTGCCTGGCTCATAATTTGTTTCTTGGCTTTTGAAATAAGTAAAAACAGGCTGGGAAGGTGGCTCAGTGGTAGAGCGCTTGCCTTGCATGCATGAGGCCCTGGGTTCAATTCCTCAG